ATCTATTATCTACCGAAAAATGTTTTTAATTTTTTGTTGTTGTCTGTTCGATTACCAATTGATAAATGCTGGTAAGTTCTATTCAATGGAATATCAAGTCATTTAGATAGCTGGGTAAAGAATCACCCAAAATAAATAGTCATTGATAATGAGTGATTTTTGGGTGTGGGGTAGAGAAAAACTAATACTTTGTTTTTCAGTGATTTCTAGGGGATCGCAAAGAGATGGTGGGATCGATAATTAATTAAACGACCATTAGAAGCCAGAATATTACTTAAAAATATCGAGGAAAATGGACAGGTGTTTTATCTTGGTTTCGAACGAGTGATTGGTAGCGTCTTCAACTTTATGTTGGAACATAAGAAACGGGAACATTTTACTCCACCAGTCATAGTTCCATCTTATTATATAAGTGAAAACTTGGGCACTGTGGTAGAATGTAGTTCCTATTAGATTTGTTTATTTGATATAAAGCGCACAGTGATACAGTATTATTTATTGATTACGTTTCGAGCATAAATTATTGCTCATAATCATATCAATGTAATCACACTTCTTTCGACATCTGATTTTATAGTCCTGTCACCTGATCTCTCTTTGTTTTTTTGTTTTTTGATTGGTATAGGTGTTGCGTCATTCCTATTACATGTGTTGGGTGTGGATTCGATGAACAAAGATTCAGTAATTAATCTCTCTCTCCACCTAGCTATATTAGACTTAAGTACAGTGGTTTTGTCCCATCCTATTGTGTGGTTGTGTGTTAATGAATGTAATGCAATGGCTGAGTGTTTTTCTAGGTTATTGATCTTATTGGGGTCTGCCGTTCTATGTTTAGCTAAATTCCTATGTTCTGTTAATCTAACTGACCCCGACCGGCTAGTTTGACCTATGTATTTGACTTCACAGTCATTACATGGAATTTGGTAGATTATATTATTTTGCTTAATTGGTTCTATCGGATCTTTTAGCCGACAAAGCTTACCTCTAAGTGAGTTTGTTGGTTTAAATGCCACCCTAATTCCAACCTTGTTGAGAATCCTACGTATGGTTTCTGATGTTCCTTCCTTGTATGGTATCACAATAGAGGTGTTGATTTCCTTTCTACTTATGTTGTCACTATTATTTGTATTTGTATTAGTGTTATTATTTTGCTTCTTATGCGTCCGTGTGAATTTCTTAATAAAATGATGGGGATAATTATTAACGCTTCTTTTATGTGTTTCAATTCCTTATTTAAGTCCTTACAATGACTAGTGAGTTTCTCAGCTCTGTTATTTAGACATTTGACTAAACCCGCTTTAACTGACACTGGATGAGATGACTTGAAGTCTAGATACTGTTAGAATGTGTTGGTTTTCTGTAGACGGTAGTATCTAAACCACCATCTATCCTTCGTTTTATTCTGCAATCCAACATAGGTAATTCTCCTTGTTCATTTTCTACTTCGTAGGTGAATTGGATTGCGTTAACTACTGAGTTTATGTGTGTCAAGAAACTGTCGATATGTTCCGATTTCAACACTGTAAATGTGTCATCTACATATCGCCACCATATCTTAGGTGTCGGATTATATGTTCGTAAAGCCATATCTTCCCAACTATCCATAAATATATCTGCTACTATAGGGGATATTGGTGATCCCATTGCTACTCCTTCTGTTTGTCTATATCTTTCCCTGAAACTTGAAGACTGTCGAGGTTAAGCATAACTGCACTCCTAACATGATTTCACCAACCGATGCCTTGGTTCTTTGAGTAAGTTGTGAGTCAGTATCTAGTTGATTTCTGACTGCCTCCAGTGCCATATTGATTGGTATTTTAGTATAAAGACTTGTTACGTCAAAACTAACCATTTTTTCATCCTCTTCTATGTGCAGGTCATTAAGTTTTTGTTTCAACTCGTAAGAATTTACTAGTCTAGAGTTGGAACGGTCTCTAACAGGACGTAATACTGATGCTAAATACTCCGAACACACCAACATATGAATATCAAAGTATTTAGCATCAGTATTACGTCCTGTTAGAGACCGTTCCAACTCTAGACTAGTAAATTCTTACGAGTTGAAACAAAAACTTAATGACCTGCACATAGAAGAGGATGAAAAAATGGTTAGTTTTGACGTAACAAGTCTTTATACTAAAATACCAATCAATATGGCACTGGAGGCAGTCAGAAATCAACTAGATACTGACTCACAACTTACTCAAAGAACCAAGGCATCGGTTGGTGAAATCATGTTAGGAGTGCAGTTATGCTTAACCTCGACAGTCTTCAAGTTTCAGGGAAAGATATACAGACAAACAGAAGGAGTAGCAATGGGATCACCAATATCCCCTATAGTAGCAGATATATTTATGGATAGTTGGGAAGATATGGCTTTACGAACATATAATCCGACACCTAAGATATGGTGGCGATATGTAGATGACACATTTACAGTGTTGAAATCGGAACATATCGACAGTTTCTTGACACACATAAACTCAGTAGTTAACGCAATCCAATTCACCTACGAAGTAGAAAATGAACAAGGAGAATTACCTATGTTGGATTGCAGAATAAAACGAAGGATAGATGGTGGTTTAGATACTACCGTCTACAGAAAACCAACACATTCTAACAGGTATCTAGACTTCAAGTCATCTCATCCAGTGTCAGTTAAAGCGGGTTTAGTCAAATGTCTAAATAACAGAGCTGAGAAACTCACTAGTCATTGTAAGGACTTAAATAAGGAATTGAAACACATAAAAGAAGCGTTAATAATTATCCCCATCATTTTATTAAGAAATTCACACGGACGCATAAGAAGCAAAATAATAACACTAATACAAATACAAATAATAGTGACAACATAAGTAGAAAGGAAATCACACCTCTATTGTGATACCATACAAGGAAGGAACATCAGAAACCATACGTAGGATTCTCAACAAGGTTGGAATTAGGGTGGCATTTAAACCAACAAACTCACTTAGAGGTAAGCTTTGTCGGCTAAAAGATCCGATAGAACCAATTAAGCAAAATAATATAATCTACCAAATTCCATGTAATGACTGTGAAGTCAAATACATAGGTCAAACTAGCCGGTCGGGGTCAGTTAGATTAACAGAACATAGGAATTTAGCTAAACATAGAACGCAGACCCCAATAAGATCAATAACCTAGAAAAACACTCAGCCATTGCATTACATTCATTAACACACAACCACACAATAGGATGGGACAAAACCACTGTACTTAAGTCTAATATAGCTAGGTGGAGAGAGAGATTAATTACTGAATCTTTGTTCATCGAATCCACACCCAACACATGTAATAGGAATGACGCAACACCTATACCAGAGATATGGAAAACTTTACTACCAATCAAAAAACAAAAAACAAAGAGAGATCAGGTGACAGGACTATAAAATCAGATGTCGAAAGAAGTGTGATTACATTGATATGATTATGAGCAATAATTTATGCTCGAAACGTAATCAATAAATAATACTGTATCACTGTGCGCTTTATATCAAATAAACAAATCTAATAGGGAACTATAGTTCCATCTTGTATAGCTTCTTGGAACGCGTGGTATATCCTCAATGTCTGTCATCAAGTGGATTTAAAGAAAAGTCAACTTCCCTTGCCAACACGTTTTATTTCATCAAATGACGGTTTTCTACTGGAATTTATAAAAATTCCCGAAACTAAATAGTTATTTGGAGATGCGAGGGAGACTCAAGTACAGATGTAATTCTATCTGAGCACTGGATTATGGTTAGACTTATGTTATGCAGAGTACTGGGAAACGAGGACGAAAATACTGACCAGCACTCTCAGGTTCTCTGGTTAACAATTGTCCATGATGTTTGGATATCAAGAATTGGTAGACCTGATTTTAAAATTGTGACTGTGATGTAAACTAACTGCCCTCAAGTTCCACTTCCTTGTCTTCACTGCTGTACACAGTCAGGTGTACATTTAGTTAGGTTTTGATACTCAAAATTTATTCTTGAAAGTTGTGAGGTGGTGGTGATACAGTGATAACGCTAGTCAACATTTCACGTTACTCCAGAGACCACTGCTGAAATGGCCAATCAGGTTTTGGCATTTTATTTGAGATGGTACCTTTTTATAAATTAAAGAAAGGCAGTTGGTTATTTCAGTAGTTATTTCGGTGGTCTTTAGAGTCACATCAACATTACCAGTGTCGCCACCACAACTGAATAATAAATACCGTTTTCACTCTAGTTGGTTACTGTCATGGTTTATGTTAGGCCTCAGAATCACGTAAACAAGATCTGTTCAGGTTGTACAAGCCTTTTTATAGTCTGAAAGGCCAATCACAAAGGTATAGTTTCTGAATTACTCCTAAAAGTACAAGTAATGAATTTGCATATAAGGAACATGGCTACACAGAAGAAGAGAGGTGGGAGGGAGGGGATAGTGGTTTGATCGTCACAGACACACATGGATAGCTTTTTCTCATCTAAAATAACTTTGGATAAACCGATAGGACAGTCTAACTTTTTTGGTCAAATTAACTGAGTTACTTGGTTGTGTGTGTTTTCTGCGTTTTCAGTAGTCATCCTTTTGTGTGTTCGACTGTTATTCTGAGATAGAGACAAGAAATGGAAGTTTCTTTTGTCATTCTTCATTTAAACTCGTACAAATGGAATTCTTTTAATCCATCTGCCACATTTTTTTCCGTTTCAGCAGTAAAAACAAAACAGTGTAAGCAGCATAGGAAGCAACACACACGCACACGTGTAGATACAAGAAGATAACGAAGACTGTTTTTCTCTCACCCCTTTACTTATTCATCGAAGTACAAACAGGCTAGTGATTATTTGCTACATTCAGCTGTTTGTCTTTCCTCAGTGACCTTGAAATAGTAACCAATCCGACTTGTGGCCTCTGATTAAGTGACAGGCGTGTTTTTCACAGAGGTCAATTATTCTAAACCTCAAAGCCAATAGTATTATTTGTTATACCTGAAAATCCTTTGTGTGAATATGACGAAGGATGAAGTAGTCATTCCCCCTGGTCTTAGGGAGCTATTACTGGACTTGACTGTGTCTATACTGCGGGAACGTCCTGATAACTTAATTCAGTTTGCTATTGATTTCTTGACAATGAAGAAGGTAGCAGCAGAAAATCGTTCTAACAAGACAGGTGACAGTGACGATGATGACGATGGAGAACCCATGCCTACACCTCCACAACGGGCAACACGAAGAGCTGGTGTAGCTGCTGAAAGTTATGATCCAGAAAAGGATGACAGTTCAACTGCTGTGAAAGTAGTGCATCCGAAAACAGAAGAACAGCGACAGAGGTTAACACAAGCCACTAAGGATATTTTACTCTTCCGATCTCTTGATGATGAACAGATGAAGGATGTAATTGATGCCATGTTCGAGCGTCATGTATTACCTGGAGAAAAGGTAATCACTTTGGGCGAAGACGGTGATAACTTTTATGTAATTGAAAAAGGAGTTTATGATATCATTGTAAAAGTTGGGGATGAAGAGAAGACTGTTGGAAAGTATGACAATAAAGGATCATTCGGTGAACTGGCACTCATGTACAACACACCACGTGCTGCAACCATTCTGGCAAAGACTGAAGGTGTAGTTTGGGCAATGACACGTGAAGTGTTTCGATCCATTGTATTGAAAAAAGCATTTGAAAAACGTCGACTATATGAAGAACTTCTCAATCAGGTACCAATTTTAGAAAGTCTCAGTGCTTATGAACGTATGAGTATTGCTGATGCATTGAGAACAAAAATTTTTGAAGCTGGTGAACAGATCATTCAACAAGGTGATCCAGGTGATGAAATGTTCTTTGTTGAAGAAGGTAAAGTCCGCATTAAAATGAAAAGAACCGGAGAAATGGAAGAAAAAGAAGTTGCTGTCATTGAAAAAGGTGGTTACTTTGGTGAACTCGCCTTATTGACAAGTCATCCACGCGCTGCTTCAGCTTATGCTGATTGTCGTACTAAACTTGCTGTTCTTGATGTTGGCAGTTTTGAACGTCTACTTGGTCCGTGTTTAGATATACTTCGAAGGAATATTGATGATTATGAGGCAAAATTACAGAGTATCTTTGGTAGCTTGGACAAGGTACCTGAACTACGACGTTAATTGTCATTTTAAACACTATTCTTATATTCACTCTTATCCTTCTCATTATTTCCTTTGTGAACACTAAACGTTCCATCGTCTACACTCATCTGATGAAGCGGGATGGCGGGGAATAGGACACCGCGTACAGTGAGTACATTCTGTTTTTATTTATTGCCTCTATAGATACTTTAATCTCTTATGTATATATATTTTGTGTATGTGTGTGCAACTCATTATTTGACAGATTGATATTTAATACCGACATTTGTTTCGACCATTTTATGCATAACCTTCATCAGTTATCTTCTGTAATCTCTCAGTTACCATTATTATAGTAACTAATATCATGATTATTTCTATTATGACTGTTATTTTGATGAAAGTTTATGGGTAGAAAAATTGAAGTTGTCAGTTTTCAGCTATAAAACGAGCTCTTCTTTTTAGACATCAATGTGATATATATATATATATATATATATATATATATTCAGTTTAAGCTGATCTATGTGCTCTGAAACGTATCTCATACTTTTCCGTTTTATCCTCACACAGTCGCAATTGTCACACACACATACAGATCAATATTTTCGTTTACCATAGTTATCCGATTGTTCTTTTCTGCGAGCATATTTGCAACATGTTTACTGATTCCCACGTCGTATTGTTTGTTTGTGTATGTGTGTGGTTTTGTCAACTCACCCTGGAGATATTTTACTGAGGATGGAGATGATGGTTTTTCTTTCTCTCGGTGGCTGTGTGTATGTGTTCACCGAACTTTGTTTGGGCTAATCTCTTAACTTATGATAGATGAGGCAGAACGTGCCTAAAATGTTTGTCATTAAGTATTACGCTGAAAATGTGTAACTTATTTTCTGTATTCAATTTGGGTTACTTTAACATTGATTTAGGTGTTTTACCATTTGTTTATTTGTGGTTCTCTTATAGCAGTAAATCATTTGTGTTTTCTTTCCACAAATTGATACTTTCAATTGTCATAACGAATCTGTATTATTTTATGTTGACTGCAGACAATGTACACAACATTTATTCAAAGTTGTCATTACTTTTTTCTCATGCTTATGAGTTCCGTTTTCTAGGTGATAGGTTGTAGAATACAACCTGATAATCAATAATATTGATTTACTATATTTATATCGATGTGCAAAGAATACAATGACCTTACATATATGATCATAGGCAGTGAAGCTCTTGCCTTAGGTAACAGAAACTATGCGGTGAATAAAATCTCCAAAATTTATGCACTCATGTATCTTGATTTGTTCACTGAGAATAGTTTGAAAAAAGACAAATCCCTATGTAGAAATGTTAACAGAGAAAGGTACTTAACTGTCGCGTATTTTAAGTGATTGAAAATTTCCACTTAACCCATATGATAATAACTATAAAAGGTGGATAGGGGGTTGAATCCTGCAGTGGATCCACGGTCTACTGACCTAGACATTCGAGTTCTGTCTGATAGGTTGCAGGTTTGAACCCGTTTTACCTACCAACAAATTGGCAGCCAAATAGTATCATTAACCATATGCTTACACACAAAACACTTTCCAGTTTTCTTTTTTGTGTAACAACTAACTAGCCAGTGTTGGTGTTGAAGTAATTCGGCTGTATGAGCTGAGTTTGCCTGGGTACATCGCTGATGAGCTCAGTCGCAAAATGGGTGAAATTACTCTCTGATGCTCTAATCACACTGGTATAGCCCTCTGGTGAAGCCTATAGATCGTCGTGAGTGCTTCGTAGCTACGCAAGGTGTTAAGTTGTATAATCCTGTAAAGTTTTCATTTTTTCGTTCCATTTGAGAGAATTTCTCAGGAGAGAGAGCGAGGGAGGGAGAAAAATTAACTACTGCTACTACTACTCACACTACTACTACTACTACTACTACTTACTCACCTACTTACTTACTTTTTTACTTGCTTACTCAAACACAACTGAATGAAACTGGGTTGAAAGCTATGATCCATCTATTGGTAACAGAGTGTCTTTGCTACTGATGAGTGAAAGGTAGACATCTCATAATAAGTTGGACTAGAGTGAAAAAAGGAATGTGTGGTGTACATCACCACCATCCGGAAAAATCCTCAGCTACATCACCTAGAATCTTGTCTAGTCGACCTCAATGAGGAAGTTAACATTTCTTCAGATGTTTCAGACACTTCATGAACTGATGTCATAATTCAGTCTGACATACTGTATAAGTAAGCAAGTATGCTGGTAAAAGTATTATAATTTTTGCTGCCAGCGAGAAATTTGATTAGTTATAGGGATCAGAATAGTGTATTTTGTGCTGGACTGCTCAGAAGAATCTACTGATCTTCTCATTGACTTCGTTCTGTAACATTTTTATCAGAGTACCAGGACTGCTTAACTTTGTTTAAAAACAGTAGCTTACTAAATGCTTACTCTTGATGGTATGGAACCTTCTAGCCTTTTTGATGCTACTTCTTGAATAATGACTGGGTTTGTAGATAATAACCTTCCAGTTTCTATGCTATCCGGACATGGCTACACTGACTATAGCTTCTGAATTTTTCACTGGTCTCATATGGTTTACTTATAGCATAAATTTTGTTTAGAGTCTCTTTTCTCCCATGAGGGCAATATATTTGTAGACGCCATGGACTATCGAAAACTAGTTAATTCAAGAAATGGATATTTGTGTAATCGCTGGTTGAATTTTTTTCTCCGAGAGCATCCTGTTTCAGTGAAACAACATGGATGCAAAAGACTTAACAAGCTGTCGCTGAATTTAATTCTTTGACTTTACAAACACTTATTGAACCAAGCAGCGTATGATGATGGTCGAAGTTTGTCATTGACATTTGAAGTGTGACCACTGAAATAAGAAACTTGACAATATAGTGGACTGTGTATTTTCGAATCAGGACTCCGTTGGCAGAAGACCTGGGGTCAAGTTTCTTAGTTGTGGGAGCTTGCAAGTAAAGTTCTTCTGACATAATCTTTTGAAAACTCAAGTTGTCTCGGTGATTAGAATTGGTTTCCTTCAAAGAAATTCAGTGCTCGACTCCTCAAATTCATCTGGAACTGGAGTCCACCACGCTAACGCGATATCGACTCTGAGCGGGAAGAATATCGCTCATTAGGGCAGGTACATTCAGCTGATGAGTCCCAAATAGGACGAAACACGCGTCCTAGATTCTACTGCCAGCTACTATCCATCACTAGTTGAAACCCAGGTGCTCATATGCCAATAGAGACCGATTAATTTGGTCCAGATAACGACGAGATAATACAAGTAACAACATAATATCGGTTACCATCAAGTGAAATTTTTATCTGCTTAACCAAGTACTGTCGAGGTTCGGGACATCTCTTAATGGAAGTTTCTGACTTCGGTATTGACTGAAACCGATTCAAGTCCAAAAGGGATAATGAGAATTTCGGATTACTCGCAATGGTGAGTTACAACGACTAAAAAATCACAAGTCCCTTTCAATTAAATACAGCAAGATGACTAACTGAAAAGTGAAGTCACCTCGAACTTCTGATTAGGCTTGAATAAAGCAAGAAGAAACAGCTTTGTAGGATGAAATGGAGTCATTCTGTTTCACTGATATTCATCAGCTGCATACAACCTGAAATCGCACATCTTGGCCAGGATAAATGATGATTTAATTTAGAGAAGTAGGAAGTATGGGATACTTGGTCCCGATGCAGTGACTCAAGTGTAACAAGCTGGATGCGGAATCTGAAGGCTCTGGGCACAATCCCAGGAGGGACCATTCATGGTTGGATACTGCTGAGGGGCTCCATAGTGAGGTGATATAGCTATCCAGTGCTCCTTGGTTTCCAGCGTTTCTCCAACTGACTTCAGTCCGTGGAGAATATCATCTTGAAACAAATAAAATCCCAAATAAATGGGTAGGTTTAGTGCTTCACTCTTGGGGGTTTACAGAGGTGGAAAGCAAGGAACTATACACTTTCTGTCTTCTTTTCTCTCCCGCACGTTAACCAGTTTGCCTACTCCATAATAATGGCGCTCTTGTTGAACGCTTTTCCTCCTACTGGAAGATTTCACCAAGAACAACTTTTGAGTGCTTTAAGAAGGATGGAAATAAATGCTTGTCTCATAAGATATTGAAGAAGGTTTGTTATGAGACGAGAAGGCATTTTCTATTATTTTATCTTCTTTGGGCTGCATGCCAGCGCATTTAGTTTCGTACTTTACACCATGACAAACAGTGTGGATTCTTCGTTGGATACTGTGATTTTGTGATAGCCTGTGATGTATTTGTGAATTTCCTCTCGGAGTCGTATGCCTGCTGTTTAATCTCTTGCATACGACAGTAACGGGTAATTAGCACCACTTTGAATGTATCCTGACCAACAATGGACTTAATGGTTTGGAAAAACTTAGATACAATTCACTTACGCATGATTCATCGCATAAGGTGTATTTTACTTTTGCTATCCCGGCATATCACAATCTAATTGGGTGATCATAAACGTCCCCATTACCGAAGTTGAATATTTACCTGGAAACTTGATATCCAATTGATACACTTGAAAAGCATCTTCCTAGCAAGAGCGAAACGTTGATGAATAATAAAAAATATTTAATCTTTTATACTACACCGGGATTACACAATTAAAATTCTTAGCCAAATTGGTGAGTGGCAACGCATTCCTCACTGAATACCATGATCCTTCGTGGAGATATAAGTGCACATTGCTGAGAATATATTATGAACCAGAATGAAATAACTGTCCAGAGCTCCCAGTTTTTCAACTGTTCTTTGGCTAATATATAAATCCCAGATGAAATCTAGTTTCACCACTAACAAAATACTTTTTTTACAGAGAGAAATTTACTAGGTAAAATTAATGGAAACCAACTGATATCAGGGAAACGCTTCCTTTTTCTTGGGGAATGTTCACTAGGTCACACTGACACTGTCATGTTGCACGACTAGTAAATTACTGTACACCATCTGAAAGGGTTCAGCGTTGACCGTGAAGGCGAAGAGTTTTGGATTGAA